ATCCCTTGTAACCTCTTGTAACCTTTTGTAACCCCGTGTAACCCGTTGTAATCCCCTATATCCCCTTTTAACCTCCTTTAACCCCTTGTAAGCCATTTTAACCCCCTGTAACCTTTTGTAACCCCTTTTAACCTTCTTTAACCTCTCGTAACCCCTTGTAACCCCCTGTAACCCCTTTTAAGCCTTTGTAACCCTATGTAACTCCCTATAACCTCTTGTAACCCCCTGTTTCCTCTTGTAACCCCTTGTAACCCTCTGTAACCCCTTGTAAGCCCCTGTAACCGCTTGTTACCTTTTTTAACTCCCTTTAACCCCCTGTAACCTCTAGTAACCCCTTGTAACCCCGTGTAACCCTTTTTAATCCCCTGTATACCCTTGTAACCCATTGTAACCCCCTGTAACCTTTTGCAACCCTTTGTAACCCTCTGTAACCCTCTGTAATCCTTTTTAACCCCCTGTAACTCCTTGTAAGCCCTTGTAACCCCATGTAACCCTTTGTAACCTGTTGGAACCCTTTGGACCCCCCTGTAACCCTTTGTAACCCCCTGTAACTCCTTGTAAAAAGTATTTGGTGACGTTCTCGTTAGGAAAGAAGCCTTTCTAGACAATAGAGACATGGATTTAATAAGAACGGAAAATTGACATTTTTCCAAAGGGGATAGTCCATGATTTTGGTGAAAAAGTTGAAGTTTTTTTATTTATTATGCTTAACAAAAAAGAGATTGCAAAAAACGCTCCTGATGCTCTAGATAGAAAAGAAAAAGAAAAGATTTCCACAACGTTAATTTTTTAAGCAAAATAGAACAAGACAAAGTATCTTGGAACGTTCTTGATAGAAACCTCCTGTAACCCCCGGGGTTACAAAAGGTTACAACGGGTTACAAGCAGTTACAGGGGGTAAGAAAGGGTTACAAGGGGTTACAAAAGTTTGCAAGGAATGAGAGGGGGTTACAACGGGTTGTGCTTGGTTACAAGGGGTTACAAAAGGTTTCAGGGGTTTGCAAAGGGTTACAAAGGATTACATGGGGTTACAGTGGGTTACAAGGGGTAACAAGGGGTTCCAGGGGGTTACAAAGGGTTACAAGGGTTACTAGGGGGCTAGAGGGGGGTTACGAGGGGTGACAGGGGGGTAGAAGGGATAACAAGGGGGGAGAAGGGGTTGAAAAGGGTTACAGGAGGTAAGAGGGGGTTACAAGGGGTTACAGGAGGTGACGAGGGGTAACAGGGGGTTACAGGGGGGAAATCTTATTAAATCCATGTCTCTATTGTCTAGAAAGGCTTCTTTCCTAACGAGAACGTCACCAAATACTTTTTACAAGGAGTTACAGGGGGTTACAAAGGGTTACAGGGGGGTAGGGGGGATTACGAGGGGTTAGAGGAGGTTCCAATGGGTTACAAGGGGTTGCAGGGGGTTAGAAGGGGTTACAAGGGGTAAGACGCAGCAACAGGGGATTAGAGGGGTTACAAGAGGTTACAAAAAAGTTACCCTGGGTTACAAGCGATTACACGGGGTTACAAGGGGTTACAGGGGGTTACAAGGGATTACAGTGGATTACAGGGGGTTACAAGGCGTTACAAGGGGTTACAGGTGATTACAAGCGGTTACAGGGGGTTACACAGGATTAAAGGGATTGCAGGGGAATACAAGGGTTATAGGGGGTTACAGGGGGTTACAAAGGGTTACAAGGGGTTAAAGAGAAATAGAGCTTTGAGTTAACATAGATTTAGATAGAATTCATACATGGCTTGCAGCGAGCAAACTTACACTAAACACGACTAAGACAGAATTTTTATTAATTGGGTCTAAGGCAAAGACTGTCAACGCTAGAAAGGAGTCCCGTAATTGAAATTAACAAGTTTCCGATTAAACAAGTTTCGACTTCAAAATCCCTAGGTGTTCACATCGATGGAAAGCTTTCTTGGGAGTGTCATATTAACGAAATCTCTAAGAAGTTTGCTTCTGGCATAAGTGCGATTAAGCGTATTAGGTATTTTCTCCCTTTTGAGATTCTACTTAACGTATACAACTCATTGGTACAGCCACACTTTGATTACTGTAATGTAATATGGGGAAACTGTTCTAAGAAACTATCTTTTAAATTGCAGAATCGCACCGCTCTCGTTCTGACTTTCTCTAATTATGACTGCAGTACTAGTGAATTATTTCAAAATTAAAAGTAGTTGAAACTTGTCCATCAGCGCGCAGTTAGTAAAGCAATAATGATGCATAGCATTGTAAATAACACAGCTTCAGAGTATCTGACTTCGCGTTTTGTTCGTCGCTGCGATTTAACTAGTTATAACCTTAGAGAGAATGAATACAAGCTTGCTGTTCCACTGCCACGTACTGAATTTTATAAAAGAAGTATTTCTTACAGCGGAAGTGTGTTATGGAACAGCTTGCCTCTGGAGGTGCGGCAATTGACATCCCCTAGTATATTTAAGGGAAAATTAAGAGACATAAATTTCGAGTGACAAATAATTTAATCAGCTATATTCTGTTTTTAAACACGGCCTCCTTGAAAAGCAGGTGTTCTCTTTTCATCTTTATTATTTTAGTTTTTATCTGAGATTTTAGATTAGTTAGGAAGTTAGTTTTTAGTTTAGTTAGTTTATTTAGTTACAAGGGGTTAAAGGGGCTTACAAAGGATTACAAGGGCTTACAAGAGGTTACAAAAAGGTTAGCTTGGGTTACAAGGGGTTACACGGGGTTACACGGGGTTACAATGGGCTAGAGAGGGTTGCAAGGGGTTAAACAGAGTTACAAGGGGTGAGAGGGTGTTACAAAGGGGTACAAGTTGTTGCAGGGGGTGACAAGGGGTGTCAAGGGGTTACAGGGGTTTACAAAGGGTTACAAAGGACTACCGGGGGTTATTGTGGGTTGCAAGGGGTTAGTAGGGGTTACAGGAGGTTACAAGGGGTTACAAGGGGTTACTGGGGGTTACAGGTCGAAGGTTTTGTATAGAATATAAACCTGCTTGGACTATAAAAACATCTGTGTCAAAAACCCACAGAATTTACATCTTTCTAAAGTCTATGGTTTTGGTCAAAAATTTGAAATTTTGTTCACGTTTCGTTTCATGCAAAATACACCGAGAAAAAGTGTTAGGTGAAGTTCTCGTTAGAAAGGAAGCCTTTCTAGACAATAGAAAGATGGATTTAATAACAAAGCAAAATTGGCATTTTTCCAAAGGGGACAGTCCATGATTTTAGTCAGAAAGTTGAAGTTTTTTCATCTTTTGTGTTTATCAAAAATAGATAGAGAAAAAGTGTTTGCTGAGGCTCCAGATAGAAAAGAAGCCTTTAAAGACTTTATGAGCATCTGTTTCTCAAAAACAAAATTAGAATTTTTCCAAAGGGGCTAGTCCGTCGTTTTCGTCAAACATTTGAAATTTCCTCAACTTTAATTTTGATGGAAAATAGACCAGGAAAAAGTATCTGGGGACGTTCCAGTTGTAATCCTTATTGTAACCCAAAGGTACCAAAATGAACAGCATGGCTAAGACGAGCAAAATGAACAAAGGGGCCAAAAGGCTGATTGAGTGGACCTTATGTCACTTCTAACTTCATATCTTGTAATCACAGTAAGCATCAGTGACCAAAATGTCTTAAATGTGGTATCCAGCAGTCCTGCTGTGTCTTAACCACCCTTGAACACACATTCCTATCAATCAAGTGATTTAGGGACATTCATGAATTGTCTCTGTTTCTCAATTAAGTAATTGTCCCGATTAAAGAACAATTGCTAAGATAAAAATTAGATAAGGTAAGACAAGATTGGAAAAGGTAAGGAATAGATAACATATTCACTGCGAGGAATCAGTACTTTTCATTGTGGTCCAAGGAAAAATGTTAGTATCAGTATTTACCTGGGGTCTCAAAACTTGCGAAACAAATCTATGTAGTTAAGACAAACCATGCGCTTTTCCAAATAATGAAACAGTTGTAAGTAAACAGGAAATTGTAACTCAGTTCTTAAAATATCACCTTTGAGAATATTATACTTCCCTTTCATTAAACTTTCTTTCCCGCTGTTATTTTAATTAGGTATAGCATAGCTGAAATTGGGCGTTAGATTCACTTTTAAACTTGAACTTGTTGGGGAAATAAAAATATACTTTGAAATATTTACATTAAATTGTACTACCTACTGTTTTCGTTTCAAGGGTCGGTTTTTATTTTTAAAAATCATCTACCGCTCACAATATATCTTTTATTACAAACTATCTAGACAATATCTTTTCTAACAATGCCGACAAATGACAATTTGCATCAATAACACATGCTGCGAGAATTATATCATTAATTCGAGAGCCTCAGAGCCCAGAAAAGAACTTCGTCAAAAGGACGTAAACACCAGTGGCTTAGTATGTCTCTAAGATCATCGATCTGATAACATTTAACTTCTTTCCTTCAGGAATTATAATAAATAAAGAAAAAAGGAACCTTAAAACCCTCTGGCCTTCGATGCCTCAGAAAATTAACGATATATTTAAAAAATGTATTGCAATTTCCTCAAAGGCTGGATCTGTTACTTTGAATAATATGAGATTTTGATCGAAACAATGCAGCCGTTAATTTAAAGTCTTTTCCTGGGCAATACAAATATTGAAGCAGCTGATAATGTTTCGTATCAAAAGGGAATGATATAATTCTGTACTGCAGACATATTCTTAATTTGGCCTTTTCACAAACCAACAATTTTTTATTATTCATACAATTTGTCTCAACACGACAATTTGTTATTTTCCGGTCACAGGATACAAGAAGGCTTATTGAATTTTGAATTTGAATACAAATGATTAGACTTAACAACAGTTATTTTCATTTGAGCCCTTAAAAAGAAAACCAGGTCTCATTAAGCAAAAGTCGATCATATCAGAACTCGAGATCGATTGCTTTGCTAATCGCATGGTTCTAAACAGATTTTCTGCAGAGCCTCTCGAGATCTTTGTTGTTGTTCACTTCACTTCGCAAGGTTTAGCAAACACTCAGCGATAATGTTCAACGCCTCACAGTCGTTCAACTCTTCTTACGCTGCCTCTCCAGCACAAAGAAGTAACTCTGCTCGCCGCGCCTATCATACACTGAGAATTATATTTGGTATCATTTCTTGCTTTGCTGTGTTTGGAAACTGTTTAGTTTGCCTGGTCATTTTGAAGAAACGTAATAACTTGAGAAATTCCTACAACTTGATGATTTTGGCGCTTGCAATCGTGGATACACTAACAGGTACATACTAATCCGTTTGGTTTGCCGTACTTCTCTTTCAGTCATCACCGATGCGGATGCTTGAGTTCTAAAATGTGGTTTTGATAATACACTCTGAATCTGAGGGTCAATGGAAACTGATCGTAGTTGCAACATATTGCCATCGATAGCTATCGAACAACAATATACAGCAAAATAGAATATTAGAGCTCTGTAAATATTGTGACAAGAGTAAACTCAGATTATCTTAAAATTCCTTACCCTGTTCTGCCAGCCCCTCATCTAGGAATATTATTGCCATATATAAAGGAAAATATTATTGTCCACAAATCTAGAACGGGAAAAAACGCTACCTATCTTCGTTCTACTGTTTATTCCCATTTAGTTTTCCTTTTTTTCTTAATACAATGATGCCTTATTTTGTTTTAATTTTTAAATTTAGATTTAGTTGTCTAAAATGCGATTGCTAAAACATTAAAAAAGTTCTTAGAGAAACCTTTGAAGTTTTAACGTATACTACGAAAATTTCCCAGTTCAACTCCGCGACACACAAAAAAAGAAAATGCAGAAAGCTTAAACAGTCTTTCAACTCTTATCCTTTAAGGTATATGCCTGGCGATCACTCCTTCGTTTATTATCGGTGAGAACAATTTTCCGATTACAAGTGGTCTCCAGGGAGAGTTCCTCTGCCGTTTCGTCAGCTCTCACTATTTCCTTTTCACATTGGGCAAGATATCCGTGGCTTTAGTGATGTGTTTGGCCGTGGATCGCTGGTTTGCGATTTATCGCCCATTGAGGTACCAAACAGTTTTCAAGAGAAGAATTGTCATTCGCAATGTTATGTTGGTGGTGTTAACGTGCTGCATCATGAATTCGAGAGCGGTTTTTGAAAAACGTCCCGTTTCGAAAGATAAAGTAAGTATAATATCTATATTATGTACAATGCGTTATTGTGTCCTTTGCTATATCAAAGAACGACTGTGTAATATTTGTTCTAGGCATCGTTACGTTAATCATGACCTGTAAATAGCGTACTAAGCGGATTCAACAAGGAGTTGGGCAAGCACAAACGTAATCTGGGTTTTCAACAGGCAGGGTGAACGAAACGACAACCGATCGACGCTGCATACATGCATCAACATTGATTTAGATCCATAAGGCATTGGTTTCCGGCAACTGTCATCCGCATGCCACACAGTTTTCCCGATTCACGAATTTAGTTTTGCTAAAACAATAAGTAGTGTTTTTTGCGTCGCGTAAGTTACAAGCCAAATGGTTTTCAGGTTTGCTTCTGTAGCAAACGAAGAAATTTCACAAATAAACGAAGAAGCTGTTCCCTGGCACTTTTTACAGGCATCTCTATTCAACCCGAATGTATTAGCGTCTTGGTAAATAATCCACCACTAGCCACCTCCACATACAAATAAGCTCTAAAATTGTGAAGTTTTTTATAAGACAAAGCTTTACCTTACTTTTCATCCTTGACTTCTAGATCACAACCTGTAAGTGGATGTCCTTAACAAAAGGCAAACTGGCTGCCCAAGTTTACGTCATCATACACGTGACTGTCACATTCTTTATTCCATTATCGATTTCGTGGGTAACATTCCTGCAACTTTGGTTATTGCTGAGGAAATCAACTTTTCACACCGAGCGAAAAAGTCTTTCGAGATCCCTTATCTATCCATTGCGCATGGGTGCGCTGACCGCGTTGTTCCTTGGGATTTGCTGGACGCCTAATCAGTTTTACTTCCTTCTGTCAAATTTTGACGTCACCCAGCTAGACACACCAATTCATCACGTGACAGTTGTTCTGAGCATGTTCAACTCCTGTTTGAATCCGTGGATTTATGGTGCAACGAATAAGAAGTATCGAAACGAGTTTAGGAAAATTATTTTCTTTTGGAAAAGTAATCAGATGGAGCAATCGGAAACGGATATCCTTGGAATAACTCTTGAAAACACCAAACCAAGGAGTGGTGGAAGGAGAAATCCCAGTGTGGTACCAGTCAACGAGGATTGAAAAAAGAAGAAGTATCATTATCTTATATTTTAATTATAAGTCATACAATATGGATGAACACTGAGATGCTTGATTCACTAGTGAAAAAATTGTGCTAAGAATTACACCCTCATTACCTTCATTTACTTAATCCACGCTCATCTACCTATTAGCCTTTAATCTGCCTTCATCTTTTTCCATTAGCCTTCATTTACCTTCATCTGACCTCCAATAGCCTTCATTTACCTTTATCTACCTCCATTAGCGTTCTTTCACCGTCATCCACCCTCATATACCTCCAAGTTTCATCCACCCCCACCTATGAAGGTAGCGGTCAGGCGCGCGCACCCATAATAAGCAGGAAAAAAGAGCATTGTTCACTAGAACAGTTTTGCGCATCCTTTTTTTGGATTGCAAATTGAACAGTAAAAAAGGAAATCCATAAAATCAAGGTTGGGATTTCTGAATGAAATCCACCTCGAGTAAAGGAATTTTCGGATTTCGCACACGATTGCAAATCCGAAATTTGGATTTCAAAACCTTAGTGTTAATTTTTCAATCGAACACACCCTTGTATATTATTGTGTTGGGGGAAAAGGAAAGGAAAACAACTTAAACTATAAAAGATAGAAGAGGAGGGAATCTATAGAATATGGTGGTGGTAGGAAAATTTAAAACAAACGAGGAGGAGTGAAATAATTGATTTTTAGTGGAGCTGGAAGAGGGAGGAGAAAGTAGCAGTTGTGTTTCGTGTTGGAAAGAGGTAGACCTAGAAGAAATGAGGATAAGACCTGTCAAACCAGTGAAACCCCTTAAAGAAATTTATCTTGATGAGATTCTCACGCATTTTATTAATGAGATGTGACAAAAAGGTTATGACGCCATCGCCTTTAATGTATTCCTGTCAAGGTTAATGAGATTCCTGCCGCAAAATTGTTCTTTTGGTGCACGCTATACTACTCACAACAATTGAAAACAGGGAAAAAGATGATGTTGAATTAAATAGGCCCTTTGCAGCTAGCCATTCATGTGGTACAAAACCGCCGTGCTGGAGAGCAAAAGTCGCACTGGGACAAGACAAACAAAGAAAATTACCATTTAAAATTATGTATGTCTTTTGTTTGTTTTGTCCCAGTGCGACTTTTGCTCTCCAGCGTGGCGGTTTTGTATCACGTGAATGGCTGGCTGCAAAGGACCTATTTCGACCAGGGCGGATAAAGGTTGGGCGGTGAAACGAGCGCTCCGCTCTTCATTTAATGTGTGATGCGGAGTAGGACTGGCACGAGCGCTCTTTCCGCGCTTCCGGTGCGCTTGAAGGCCGGCGAAATTTCCCTTTTTGCGAACCGGAAATCCTATTTTCTTTCTGTAATTTCAGGCTACAATGTTAAATAGATAAATTCGTTTCATAATATTATCAATAAACAGTTTCATATGTTTGTGTCTGTACGTCTATAAGTTAAACTTGTTGGTCGTATAATGCCAAAATTTGAGTTTAATTTGAAAGTGTTGAATACCTCCTCCTTCCACTAAATATCACCTAATCGTCTTTCGCCGTTTCGTTTGCAAAAGCTTAACACTTCTTAACCTCAATTTTTATATATGTTAAAGGGGGATAAATTTTATATAACATAACAAAAAATTAGATTGATANTTGATGAAATGGAAACTGTCAGAGCTATTCCCTTTTTCAAGTTGTTTCCAATAGCTTCATTAAAATCCCTTGCGTTGATTGGTTCCATCATATTAATTTTTTTAATTGGCTGTCTCCCAGATAAATTCCCGCTCCAAATGCTAAAACATTAGAACAGCAAGAAATTATTGTATGGATCAGTTCAAAAGACCACATGAGTTCTTACAGAAAGGAAAGATCGGCTGCGAAATGCCTAGCTGTAACTCAATTTCCAATTAAAAAGTGAAGAAGACGTATAAAAGTCGAGTAAGTAGTTGATTTTTAGGAACAGATAAATAATGGATCCCGAGAACACGAGCTTAAATGGATTCAACACTTGCAAAATTAATGCACAAACGCCAGGTGATAAATTAGTATAGAATCTCGTGAAAACCCCTGATTTAGAAAATGGATTAAACACTTGCAATTACGTTAGGGCTATAAACTTCCAAAAAAACTGAAGGCAACATGCATATGATGAAAAAAACTGTTAAAAGTATTCAGTTAATTTTTGAATGAAACTGCTTCATAAGATTTTAAGATAACTAGGCTGAAATTTCAATGATTTCCAATTCCAATAAACGGGAAAATTTCAACAAGGGAGGAAATAGCAGCATGAAACCAGTTTGCACTCTTTGTGTTGATAATTATGGCTACAGAAAAATGTCTAATATTGAAACATTTTTGCAAAAAATCCCGGTGGCCTTTATTTAGTTTGAAAACCGGATGTTTTTTGAGGTACGGTTTGTTTGTTTTTAACAAGAAATCCCTACAAACAAATAATTGTAAAAAATTGTTTTAAACAATCTTGTTTAACCTTCTAGTTTCGTCTGACATAAACATCTGCTTTGATGAGGCATCTGAGGCTTTTCGAAATTACAAGGGCTTCAGTGTTATTTTTCCGAAAATTGTTAATGCAGTTCAACGTTTAATGGAAATGAGAATTTTTCTCATTCCTCCCTCCATCACATTTTAAATCGGAAAATTTTAGGTTACTTTCCTTTTTCTACGGAAATTATCCTAACATAAGGAGTAAAATATGAAAAATTAATTCAGAAAATCGTAGGGAATTTTTTACATAAGCTTCGAAAATTGTACCTGAATGGAACGCCCATCTAGAAATTTTTAGCTGTATTCAAGCAAGGAAAAATTCTAGGCAATATTTGCTTCTCCGAACAGATACCTTTTACAGAAAACGGTCCTTGGGTGCATGCTCCTGAAAAATGTGACATATTGGACGTTAAACGTCCTTATGTTTTACACAATATTTACGATATTTCCTATCTACTTTGCTAATATTTCTTTCAACCTTTATTATCCTCTTGTCAGATAATGTTTTCTGAATAACATTAAGCCATGAAGCTTTTGACGAATTCTTCGGCGAATAACAGAGCTACGGACCCCTCCGTGACTAGCAGCAGTATCGACCTCTCGTGGACCGCTTTAAGAGTTACTTTTGCGCTGATTGCCTCCATGGCGTTATTTGGAAATGCCCTGGTTTGTGTGGTGATCCTTCGAAGTCGTACGATGTTAAAAAATTCGTACAACTTGATGATTCTTGCATTAGCTTTTTCTGACATGTTCACAGGTATGTAACGATAACTTACATGCCACCTTAAACTTGCTGGTTGACATAACAAAATTAATGGTTTGATAACTTTCATCTGTCAAACTGAGCTTTGAGATGTATTATAAAAAAACCTATCATACGCCTCAGATTTCAAACACTTCCTTTCAAAGTTTTCAAATCCTGACGAAGCACTCGTTTCTCGTATTTGGCACAAGTGCATTACGTACCTATTAGCAGCATAGATGAAACCTTTCAATAATTAAATCATTTTGATTTAATTATTATTTAAGTTAAGTTTAAGAGCCCTATAGGTTGTTGATGATAATGTTTCAAATTCTTGCGAATCAAGAAAATTCGCGAATGATATTTTTACCATCTTCACAGGAATCATACTTGTCATTACACCGGCATTTATCATCGGGGACGAGAACTTTCCTGTTCCGGGAAATTTGGCCGGAGAAATCTACTGCCATATAATCAGCTCCCACTTTTTTGTCTTCACGTTTGGCAAGATATCTGTTGCCATAGTGATGCTATTAGCAATTGATCGATGGTATGCAATCACGAGATCAACCAAGTACAAAAGGTCTTTCA